ATACCTACCAAGCAACTCCCGCACCTCGCAATCAGACACTGCTACAACACTTCGCACAGTACACGAATTGTCTATCGACACACCCGCAATTACGCTTAAACTAGTGAGGCTATCTACAAGGCGCTTATTTTTTAAATCGACTAGTAGTCCGAAATGACTTAGAAAATCCGCACCTATAATCGGTCGCGATACGTCGGCTACAATAAACCTCCACATAAAACTACGGCGCAAACTTAAATCTAAATCTAAAACTACTTGTCCGTACGTCGCGATAGGCGTTCCGTTCGCGGCAACCAGCTCGAAATCCGTTCGAGTCCGTGGACCACTGAGTCTAACCCGCGGAAAAACACTGACGTCAGCCCCCGTATCGACGAGGAACTGCGTCTTCGTCACGGCATCATTTACGAAAAGGCGACGCGTTACATTACCCGGTTCGCCGGTCGCCATTAACGTCCCAGGCTCGTGTTTTCCGGCGCTTTATAATTACAAGGGGGAACACACCGGTACGCTTTTTCCTTGAACCGCCAGTGGTAGAAACACATACCCCCACGCTGCTCGTCCCTCTTCCGGGAACTGGACCTCCCTCTTGGTAGGTTGCGCCCTCGCGATCGCGATCGACCTGGTGGACGATACTCCCGGCGCAGATTCTCCGTCACCAACGCTGCGATCTGCTTTACCAGCCGATCCATGTCGGTACACTCGGCGACGGTACCTCCCCTTCCGGGGGGACTTATCTCGCTGACTTTGTCTGCGAGCGTCGCCATCTTGTCCAACGTCGCATCATCTTGGGTAGCCAACACCGTCTGAACGCTTGTTGGAAGCCTATTCTTCCAAATCGTTTTTAAAAGATCCTCCGGCACGTCCGCCTCCGCGAGAGTCTTTAAATGACGGAGGAATTGTGATGGTATCCTATCGCCGATCTCCTCGTGTTCCAGCAGCTTCCGGATCCTCTTCTCCTTCGAATGAGAGAACCTCGCAATTAATTCTTGCTTGAGCTTCTCAAACTTTCCATTTTCAGGTGGATTAATTAAGATGTCTTCCACCTCGGCTGCAGTCTTCGCATCTAATTGCTCCAACACGTGCCCGTAACACGTTGCGTCCTGCGTGATTCCCCGCAACGCAAATTGGCCTTCCAGAAGCGCGAACCACAGCGCTGGACGGTCCGGCCAGAATTTAGAAATCCTGAGACTTACGGCATTCGTTTCTTGAGGATCATCTTCCTTCTCAACTGCCTTTTCTTTCTCAGCCATTATTTTCCTTTCTTTCCGAAATTCGTCGGGGTCACCAAATGTGAGTATTAGACAAGCAATTACACGTGTTCTCGGGTTGAAGACTTTATTCCGACTGTCCCATCTAGGGCGCTCTCTGCGAGCACTCCAAGTACGTGCCGTACTCTAGGTAAATGTCCCTAGACTGGGAACTAGCGCTTGCTAGGCTGGGACTAGAACTCCCTAGCCGGGAACTAATAGTCCCTACATTCTATAGTGTAACGCTCCATTTTTACTAACCTTAAACTGTCAGCTGTCGAATTGTTTTTTTTTTTTAGGGTTGCCAACACTTTACTGCGCAAATGGCGGCAAATTCAAATTTTGCGTTAATTTTGGGACACCTTTTACATATAGATGTACATACATACATCCATACATACCTTACGCGCTATACCCATTCATTAGAGATGGCGTGAACTGCTACTTGTGAATCACAAACTTACTTGTAAATACAAAAAATTGACAAGTAATAAGTTTATGCGTAATATAATTCTATGAAATATAACTATATAATATAAATACAATAAATAATATTTAATATAAAAAACAGCAATAATAAACTAAAATAAAATATATAAATATAATTATTAATAGAATAAAAGCTACGTATCACTATTTAAAAATACGAGCATTGATAACTTTTCAGCATTTAGTCTATTTCTCGTTTCATTTAAAATTAACCCAGCTTTCGAAAATATTCTTTCACATGGTACTGATATCGCGACTATACAGAATAATTTTTCCATTACTGTTTTTAATAATGGGAATTAGTATTGGTGTTGTTTCCACCAAATTAATTGGTCTCCTGTTCTATTGTAAAATTCTTCTGTTAAGTAATGTTCTATTTCTATTGCAATTTTATTTTCTTTTGTTATAATTTGTGGATTATTTTTCTGTACATTTTGTTCTAATGCGTCCCAAATTGAAAGTTCATCTGTGTATGTGTCTGGTATTTGTACGTTTGGTTCAGTTTCTATTTCAGTGTTATTTGTATTAATTGACATGTTTAAGATTTCTGTTTTTATTGCACTTATTTTTTCTGTTGAAAAAAAAAGCATTTTTAAATCTGGGGTCTAGAAACGTGCAGATCTGTACTATTACATTATTTTCTATATTTTCAAATCTATTTAATATTCCTTCTTCAATGTGGGATATTATTTGTTGCGTACTTAAGGAAAAGTCCTTTTGCTTTAATTTTTCACAGATATTTTTTAAACCAGAAATTAATGGTATCATAACAGATGCTGTAGGATATTGTTCTCCACTGACGATTCTAGTTGCTGATTCTATTGGTTTCAAGATGACTGCCAGTTCAGGTAAGATTTCCCATTCTGAATTTGAAATATGTGGTAAGTTTTTATTAATTATAGCTATTGTGGCTTTAAGTGGTTCTTCTAATAATATAAATCTATCTATCATATGGTAGGTAGAGTTCCATCTTGTTGCTACATCATGAATTAATTTGTGCGTATATCTGCCTGCTGTTATTTGATAAGTTTTTAATTTTTCCGCAGCTGTAGTACTTTTTTTTAAATATTTAACTATTGTTTTGATATTTTCTATAAGTGAATTTATTGTATCATTATTTAAACTATCTTTTATTATTAAATTTAAATTATGGGCAAAACATGGAAGATGTTGCCATGTAAAATAATTTCTAATGGAATTTTTTATATTCAGTGCATTGTCTGTAACTGCAGAATTAACTTTATTAAAAATGTCCCATTCTTCACATATTACTCTTACAGCATTTGCAATATTTTCACTAGTGTGTGACCCACTAATATTTGTACAGTTTAAAAGTAAAGACTCTAATTTAAAATTATGTATAAAGTGTGCAGTAATGGCTATAAAACTTTCTGTATTTCGTGACGTCCATGTATCGGTTGTTATGCATACCTGTATTGCATTTTGTAATTTTTGTCTACAACTATTTTTACATTCCTCAAAAAGGGCTGGAATCAAAGTTTTAGAAATAAATTTTCTATCAGGTAGTTCATAATTCGGATTTAGTTCGTTTACGAATTCCTTGAAACCAATATCTTCGACTATACTAAATGGTTGTAAATCTTTAATGAATAAATCTAATAATTTTTCGTTGATGTTCTTGCAATTTGCCGCTGTTACTTTTCGCGGTAGATACGATGTTATGTGCTGTTGTGTTGATATTGTTAATAAATTTACAGATTGTCCTTGAGGTGTTGATTGTGGCACTGATGGAATATTACTTGGACCAGGTTGTGAGATTTCTGGATCATCAGGATTGATTGCATACTGTGGTGATTGCGACTGAAAGAATTGGAAACGTGGGAAAATATATTCTACAATCAGTAGATACACAAAAGAGCATGCAGGAAAATGTTTCTAGATTTAAGATAATTAACCCTTCTTTGCATGATTTTTTCTATTTTTTTAAAATAAATCAGGGTGATGTAATTAATGCTCTAGATTAAAGGAAAAATATTTTAAAAAATCCTAATGTAAATAAAAATATGTATTATGTAAAAAACAATATGATGGAAATTTACATCATCATGCATTGTCACATATTTAGCTCAGTACTAAATAAATAAAAAAATATTGTTTACTCAATCTTCTTTATTCTTTATGATAATTTAAAAAACAATTATTATTTTTATTTAAGCACAAATTGACGCCACATTTACTACACGAAATTGTGGAATAGCCTTTACATTTGGGAAATTTGCACCGGAGTGACCCACCTACTTTTGGCCAATGTTCAGCACCATCTTTTCTTATGTCTTTTGGAGGTGGTGGAGCTGGAGAACCTTTTCTTTTTTTTGATTGTAATTCTTCTTCTAGTACGCTGGTACTAGGACGCCCTCTTTTAGCTTCTTTGGTGGTTCCTCTGTTGCATAGCACAAAGGCCAATTCATTTCTGAATTGGCCCATTGTAAGCAGACTCTTTTTAGGTTCACCTCTTTCTTGAGCATTTTTTTTATAAACAATCCAAGAGTTTATAATAGCTAGATCAAATAGATGAAAAAAAATACGCAAATACCACTTTTTAGACCTCATTGTTATATGATTTCTGCCCAAAAAGCTATCCATGAGATCTACTCCTCCCATATGTTTATTGTACTCTTGGACAATAAACGGGCAAGTAATATCAATTTTTCCTTTTGTTATCCTGTCAAATCTATTGACTTTAGTTACAGGCAATGCTCCAGCATAAGAAGATAGCAGGGTTACTATCTTATTATCTTTCCAAGCCACACAACTCAAATCTATACCATCATGCACAGACACTCTTT